GCCTCTAAGTATAGCCGTAAAACTCATTTATTGCCCATAATGAAGAGCAATGTACAAGAGGATGGATAGAATCAGGCACACCAATAATCTGTCACGGGGAGTCCGCCACGGCGAGCAACATAATGTGTGGTTTGTGGATCATCATCTGTTAGACGCATTTCTGCTGAATTTGTTGTTGTATTCTGTCTCTCAGTGTTACACCGAACATTCCATTGTTAGACCGATTGTTTCTGTGTGAGGGGCGAACATTCCATTGTTAGACCGATCGTTTCTGTGTGAGGGGCGAACATTCCATTGTTAGACCGATCGTTTCTGTGTGAGGGGCGAACATTCCATTGTTAGACCGATCGTTTCTGTGTGAGGGGCGAACATTCCATTGTTAGACCGATCATTTCTGTGTGAGGGGCGAACATTCCATTGTTAGACCGATCATTTCTGTGTGAGGGGCGAACATTCCATTGTTAGACCGATCATTTCTGTGTGAGGGGCGAACATTCCATTGTTAGACCGATTGTTTCTGTGTGAGGGGCGAACATTCCATTGTTAGACCGATCATTTCTGTGTGAGGGGCGAACATTCCATTGTTAGACCAATCGTTTCTGTGTGAGGGCGAATATTCCATTGTTAGACCGATCATTTCTGTGTGAGGGGCGAATATTCCATTGTTAGACCGATCATTTCTGTGTGAGGGGCGAACATTCCATTGTTAGACCGATCATTTCTGTGTGAGGGGCGAACATTCAGCATCAGCCGGGGAGCAAATACACATTTCCTGCACTGTATTCCGCGGTGCACAGCGAAGTTACAGAGAGAGAAACGGAAGGCACGGCTCCAGCTGCAGCCAGGAGATGCTTGTATGTCAATGAACTGCCATGTTCACCCTGATTGGCTATCATAGTGATCACATGATCGGGAATCAATCAGACCGATTCCTGATCGCAAGACAGAATGAGAGGCGCGCTCCTAGTTCTCAGGGGACGCGTCATTTACATTCTCACAGCCCTTTGCCTAGGCTGGAGAAAAGGCACTGAATATACACAGCTACAGTCTACACATACCGTGATCGAACATAACCAGCCTACACATACCGTGATCGAACATAACCAGTCTGCACATACCGTGATCGAACATAACCAGTCTACACATACCGTGATCGAACATAACCAGTCTACACATACCGTGATCGAACATAACCAGTCTACGCATACCGTGATCGAACATAACCAGCCTACACATACCGTGATCGAACATAACCAGTCTACACATACCGTGATCGAACATAACCAGTCTACGCATACCGTGATCGAACATAACCAGCCTACACATACCGTGATCGAACATAACCAGTCTACACATACCGTGATCGAACATAACCAGCCTACACATACCGTGATCGAACATAACCAGCCTACACATACTGTGATCGAACATAACCAGTCTACACATACCGTGATCGAACATAACCAGTCTACGCATACCGTGATCGAACATAACCAGTCTACACATACCGTGATCGAACATAACCAGTCTACGCATACCGTGATCGAACATAACCAGTCTACGCATACTGTGATCGAACATAACCAGTCTACGCATACCATGATCGAACATAACCAGTCTACACATACTGTGATCGAACATAACCAGTCTACACATACCGTGATCGAACATAACCAGTCCGCACATACCGTGATCGAACATAACCAGTCTACACATACTGTGATCGAACATAACCAGTCTACACATACCGTGATCGAACATAACCAGTCCGCACATACCGTGATCGAACATAACCAGTCTACGCATACCGTGATCGAACATAACCAGTCTACGCATACCGTGATCGAACATAACCAGTCTACGCATACCGTGATCGAACATAACCAGTCTACGCATACCGTGATCGAACATAACCAGTCTACACATACTGTGATCGAATATAACCAGTCCGCACATACCGTGATCGAATATAACCAGTCTACACATACCGTGATCGAATATAACCAGTCTACACATACCGTGATCGAATATAACCAGTCTACACATACCGTGATCGAATATAACCAGTCTACACATACCGTGATCGAACATAACCAGTCTACGCATACCGTGATCGAACATAACCAGTCTACACATACTGTGATCGAATATAACCAGTCCGCACATACCGTGATCGAATATAACCAGTCTACACATACCGTGATCGAATATAACCAGTCTACACATACCGTGATCGAATATAACCAGTCTACACATACCGTGATCGAATATAACCAGTCTACACATACCGTGATCGAATATAACCAGTCCGCACATACCGTGATCGAATATAACCAGTCTACACATACCGTGATCGAACATAACCAGCAGATTGACCAGTGTCTCGAAGGCTGACAGTCGCACGCTGCTCCCCTCATCCCTCGCCAGTTCCACCAGCTCGGGGAGGATGGCTGATTTTGTTAATTCTGTCCTGCAACAAAGAATAATGACACATGAATATCATCTGGAGGGATGCAGAAGACACAAATCACCGAATTACATTGTCAGGACAGGTTCTCTTAATAAGCCAAACTGATACTGTACTTACCCTGCCTGTCCATCAGGGGGAGCTCTAATCAAGGGTTCTCACCATCCCTGTACTGAGTTCCCAGGTCTGCACACCCGCTGTGCCCATTATGAGGGTTCCCACCATCCCTGTGCTGTGTTCCCGGGTCTGTACACCCGCTATGCCCATTATGAGGGGTTCCCACCATCCCTGTGCTGTGTTCCCGGGTCTGTACACCCGCTATGCCCATTATGAGGGGTTCCCACCATCCCTGTGCTGTGTTCCCGGGTCTGTACACCCGCTATGCCCATTATGAGGGGTTCCCACCATCCCTGTGCTGAGTTCCCGGGTCTGTACACCCGCTATGCCCATTATGAGGGGTTTCCACCATCCCTGTGCTTAATTCCCCGGTCTGCACACCCGCTGTGCCCAATATGAGGGGTTCCCACCATCCCTGTGCTGAGTTCCCGGGTCTGTACACCCGCTGTGCCCATTATGAGGGTTCCCACCATCCCTGTGCTGAGTTCCCGGGTCTGTACACCCGCTGTGCCCATTATGAGGGGTTCCCACCATCCCTGTGCTGAGTTCCCGGGTCTGTACACCCGCTATGCCCATTATGAGGGGTTCCCACCATCCCTGTGCTGTGTTCCCGGGTCTGTACACCCACTGTGCCCATTATGAGGGGTTCCCACCATCCCTGTGCTGTGTTCCCGGGTCTGTACACCCGCTATGCCCATTATGAGGGGTTCCCACCATCCCTGTGCTGTGTTCCCGGGTCTGTACACCCGCTATGCCCATTATGAGGGGTTCCCACCATCCCTGTGCTGTGTTTCCCGGGTCTGTACACCCGCTATGCCCATTATGAGGGGTTCCCACCATCCCTGTGCTGAGTTCCCGGGTCTGTACACCCACTATGCCCATTATGAGGGGTTCCCACCATCCCTGTGCTGTGTTCCCGGGTCTGTACACCCGCTATGCCCATTATGAGGGGTTCCCACCATCCCTGTGCTGTGTTCCCGGGTCTGTACACTCGCTATGCCCATTATGAGGGGTTCCCACCATCCCTGTGCTGTGTTCCCGGGTCTGTACACCCGCTATGCCCATTATGAGGGGTTCCCACCATCCCTGTGCTGAGTTCCCGGGTCTGTACACCCGCTATGCCCATTATGAGGGGTTCCCACCATCCCTGTGCTGTGTTCCCGGGTCTGTACACCCGCTATGCCCATTATGAGGGGTTCCCACCATCCCTGTGCTGAGTTCCCGGGTCTGTACACACAGCATAGGAGTGCGTACTTTTCCCTCCGGAGTTCCCCTATAATCTCTCTCCCGCATGGCAGGGAACATTGCGATAACCTTCGATATGAATTATATTAGGTGGTCATCTGGCGGGCGGTCGGGGCGCCGCACTACGAAGGTGAACGATTTAGTCATCACGCGGAGAGCAGATGCGGCCATTGTTCCTCGCCTATTGAAGAGACGCTCGGCGGTGACTCAGCGAAGGAGACGGCGAGCGCTGAGCACAAGGCGCCATTTCCACGTTCGTCTGCCGGTGACATTTCCCCCGTCGGTGTGTCATTGTTAGCATCTTTTCATGATTCCTGACGCGACTGCACCCCCGTATCTGCCGCTTGTGGGGGCTTCGGGAACACGAGAACGCCCCCGCAGAGGGCACCCGCTATACTATTGTGTACGGATCGTTCTGAAGTGTCTGATGGAGGCGTACTTGTGGGCTGAAAGAGTGCAGGGGAAAGGGGGGGGCACAGCGAGGGGGGGGGGGGAGCGAGGGGGGGGGGGGGAGCAAGGGGGGGGAGCGGGCTGAGGGGGCCGCGGTCAACCTGACAAACACGAATCCCACACACGGCGAGAAAGACAATTCTCAGGAATTACATTGTATCCACAGACAGAACTTTTCTTGTAGCTTTGGATGCAGAAGGGAGGAATGAGAACCCCTGGCGGGTTTTGGGGCCCATTCACATTGTCGCATTTTATGTGCGCTACAACCCAAGATCGCAGCGTGACGACTAATCTACGGCGAGCCCATTCACAACATCGCACTACCCTTCAATCACACTTAGAGCTTTGTAAATGTGCGCAAAATCACACCGCGCATATGTACTTTATTTAAAATTGGGCACCGCAATTGGAGACCAGTGACATCACCGCGAGTGCAGCCTATCCAATCACTAGAGAGCGGTGACATCACTGAGAATGCAGCCTATCCATTCACTAGAGAGCGGTGACATCACTGAGAATGCAGCCTATCCATTCACTAGAGAGCGGTGACATCACCGAGAATGCAGCCTATCCAATCACTAGAAAGCGGTGACATCACTGAGAATGCAGCCTATCCAATCACTAGAGAGCAGTGACATCACTGAGAATGCAGCCTATCCATTCACTAGAGAGCGGTGACATCACCGCGAGAATGCAGCCCATCCATTCACTAGAGAGCGGTGACATCACTGAGAATGCAGCCTATCCATTCACTAGAGAGCGGTGACATCACCGAGAATGCAGCCTATCCATTCACTAGAGAGCGGTGACATCACTGAGAACGCAGCCTATCCAATCACTAGAGAGCGGTGACATCACTGAGAATGCAGCCTATCCATTCACTAGAGCGGTGACATCACCGCGAGAATGCAGCCCATCCATTCACTAGAGAGCGGTGACATCACCGCGAGAATGCAGCCCATCCATTCACTAGAGAGCGGTGACATCACCGCGAGAATGCAGCCCATCCATTCACTAGAGAGCGGTGACATCACCGCGAGAATGCAGCCCATCCATTCACTAGAGAGCGGTGACATCACTGAGAATGCAGCCCATCCATTCACTAGAGAGCGGTGACATCACTGAGAATGCAGCCTATCCATTCACTAGAGAGCGGTGACATCACTGAGAATGCAGCCTATCCATTCACTAGAGAGCGGTGACATCACTGAAACACCAACAACTGTAAGCATGCAAATAACCAGACACCTTAACCCCTCCCCCTCCTTCCTGACCAGGCCATTTTTTGTGTTACGGAGCTGCGTTACTTTGACAATTGCGCGGTCATGCAACGCTGCACCCACATGACATTTACATGCTTTTTCCCCAGGAATTGAGCTTTCTTTCGGTGGTATTTGATCGCCTCTGAGGTTTTTATTTTTTTAAGAAAAAAAATAAATATTTCGGACTTTTTGCTATTAAAGATGTCCTGTAAAAAAATGTTAAAAAAATCAAATTCCGTCAAAAATTTCGGCCAAAATGTATTCTACTCCAATCCGTGTAAATTAATTGGTGTACGTGAAAGTTATAGCGTCTACAAATGGCGGGATATATACTGGGATTTTTTTCTACTAGTAATGGCGGCGATCAGCAACTTATAGCGGAACTGCGGCGGACATTCTGACACTGGGGGGAGGGGAACTGACTTGGTGTCACTGACATCCCCAGTGACACCAATACAGTGATCAGTCCTAAAAAAAAGCCCGACACTGTACTAATGGCACTGGGCAGGAAGGGGTTAATGTGAGGGGCGATCAAAGGGTTAACTGTGTGCTGGGAGTGACAGTATGTTAAATAAATAAATAAATGATATAAACAAATAAAATAAAAATGTAAACATTTTTTTTTAAAAATTATAATTTTTGGTTATAAACCATTTTGTTTTTTTTACTAAAAAGATAACTGAATACATTTTGGCCAAGATTTATGATGAAATATTATTTATTTGCAAAATTTTATAAGAAAAACACCTTTTTTCAAAATGTTTGAACTTTTTCATTTACGTAGCAAAAAAAAATAAAAATCCCAGCGGTGAATAAATAACAAAAAAATGTTTTATCTGTCTCAAAAAAATGATAAAAATTCATACGGGTACAGTGTTGCATGACCGCGCAATTGTCATTCAAAGTGTGATAGCGCTGAAAGCTGAAAATTGGCCTGGAAGGGGGGGAAAGTGTCCGGACTGGGAAGGGGGGAAAGTGTCCGGACCGGGAAGGGGGGGAAAGTGTCATAACAGGAAGGGGGTGAAAGTGTCCGGACTGGAACGGGGGGAAAGTGTCCGGACTGGAAGGGGGGGGGAAAGTGTCCGGACTGGAAGGTGGTGAAAGTGTCCGGACTGGAAGGGGGGGAAAGTGTCCGGACTGGAAGGGGGGGAAAGTGTCCGGACTAGAAGGGGGGGAAAGTGTCCGGACTGGAAGGGGGGGGAAAGTGTCCGGACTGGAAGGGGGGGGGGAAAGTGTCCGGACTGGAAGGTGGTGAAAGTGTCCGGACTGGAAGGGGGGGGGGGAGTGTCCGGACTGGAAGGGGGGGAAAGTGTCCGGACTGGAAGGGGGCGGGAAAGTGTCCGGACTGGAAGGTGGTGAAAGTGTCCGGACTGGAAGGGGGGTGAAAGTGTCCGGACTGGAAGGTGGTGAAAGTGTCCGGACTGGAAGGGGGGGAAAGTGTCCGGACTGGAAGGGGGTGAAAGTGTCCGGACTGGAAGGGGGGGAAAGTGTCCGGACTGTAAGGGGGTGAAAGTGTCCGGACTGGAAGGGGGGGAAAGTGTCCGGACTGGAAGGGGGTGAACTGAAAGTGTCCGGACTGGAAGGGGGTGAAAGTGTCCGGACTGGAAGGGGGGGAAAGTGTCCGGACTGTAAGGGGGTGAAAGTGTCCGGACTGGAAGGGGGGGAAAGTGTCCGGACTGGAAGGGGGGTGAAAGTGTCCGGACTGGAAGGGGGGTGAAAGTGTCTGGACTGGAAGGGGGTGAAAGTGTCTGGACTGGAAGGTGGGGGGGAAAGTGTCCGGACTGGAAGGTGGGGAAAGTGTCCGGACTGGAAGGGGGGGGGGGGGGGGAGTGTCCGGACTGGAAGGGGGGGGGGGGGGGGAGTCCGGACTGGAAGGGGGGGAAAGTGTCCGGACTGGAAGGGGGGGGGGGGAGTGTCCGGACTGGAAGGGGGGGAAAGTGTCCGGACTGGAAGTGGGGGGGGGGGGGTGTGTCCGGACTGGAAGGGGGGGGAGTGTCCGGACTGGAAGGGGGGGAAAGTGTCCGGACTGGAAGTGGGGGGGGGGGGGGGGTGTCCGGACTGGAAGGGGGGGGAGTGTCCGGACTGGAAGGGGTTAAGCGGTTAAAAAAAAACACTTTACCCCGAGATCTATACAAGGGAATGGACGATGTTTCGGGGATTCTTCTGTATTTCTCTCCTTTAGCTCGGCATTCTGGGAATTACCTAATTATATAAGGCTGACAACTCGAATATTTCCTGAGGACATCGACTTCCTTTCAAGAAAACTTCATCACATTCATTCCACAAGAGATTCGATTGATGACAGAAGTAGCGCAGTTTGCCGTAGGAAGTCGATCGTCGTACAGCAGAATATATCAGTGAACAGAATGGCGCCATGACAAGTCCCCCACAGACCACCCGCCCGTGTCAGATAGTATTGAGGCATCAAGATTCATTTGATGAAGCATGTGGATGTACGCTGGCTCACTGGGCTCCCTGGAGGAATTTAGATTGTCAGCTCTTGTGATATACGGTAAATTCACGGGGTGTGGGACATCAATGGAAAAACTGCCCATGAATTTATCACAACTGCCATTGGGTTTGTTCCTTCCAATTGGCTGCTGAGAGTGAAGAGAGAGACAGGATATTCCCAAATATGGAGGAGCATGTGACTCCGCCCTTTCCTTTTCAAGTGACAGCACCGGTGCTCTGTGATGGGCTGCTCAGACACCCATCACTGTCACATGGGGGGGGGGGGGGGGTTGCAGCCCTGCGTAAGATCTTGACACAAAATGAACCTCATCCAAAAAGTTACAAAAAACAAACAAAATTATCACGCCAACATTGCTGAGCTTGTGTCATCTCTCGTACCAAACCGCGGACCTGAAGAGAGTCCACCCTGATCTTCTGCTCCGATCCGATATATCCATTCCCCCGAACAGCCGGGGTCAGGCTTGGAGACCAGTAGCAGTAGAGACTCCCACCAACCAGCAGGCTCACCCGAGGTGCGGAGTCCAAGCACTAACCGATGTTCCCCAGAGCTAGAGCTCCTGATGGTGGGGATAGATTTTTCTGTGTATTAGTACCAGGTTGCGGTCCTCAGGATCTCCCCACCAGGAGGGGTGCAGGCTGGGGTCCAGTAGCAGATACAGCAGGTAGGGATCAAGCAGAAGCGTAGTAAGTAAACAAGCCAAAGGGTGGGGACAACTGGTTGCCCATTGGGATCAAGAGGAAACGTACGAGGAACAAGCCAAAGGTCGGTATCAAGTGGTCCCAGGTTGAGATCAAGCAGAGGCACAGTAGAAGAACAAGCCAAAGGTCAATAATGAGTGGTCCTAGGTTGGGATCAAGCAGAGGCACAGTAGAAGAACAAGCCAAAGGTCAATAATGAGTGGTCCTAGGTTGGGATCAAGCAGAGGCACAGTAGAAGAACAAGCCAAAGGTCAATAATGAGTGGTCCCAGGTTGGGATCAAGCAGAGGCACAGTAGAAGAACAAGCCAAAGGTCAATAATGAGTGGTCCTAGGTTGGGATCAAGCAAAGGCACAGTAGAAGAACAAGCCAAAGGTCAGTAATGAGTGGTCCTAGGTTGGGATCAAGCAGAGGCACAGTAGAAGAACAAGCCAAAGGTCAATAATGAGTGGTCCTAGGTTGGGATCAAGCAAAGGCACAGTAGAAGAACAAGCCAAAGGTCAATAATGAGTGGTCCTAGGTTGGGATCAAGCAGAGGCACAGTAGAAGAACAAGCCAAAAGTTGGTAATGAGTGGTCCCAGGTTGGGATCCAGCTGAAGCACAGTAGAAGAACAAGCCAAAGGTCAGTAACAAGAGGTCCTCGGTTGGGATCAAGCAGAGGCACAGTAGAACAAGCCAAAGGTCGGTGACGAGTGGGAGCCAAGATACAGATGGCAGTAGGAGAGTGAAGAGCCAGACAGACATCACCTGGATATAATAATCTGGCAAACAGGAAGTACAAAGGCATGGCTTAAATAGGAAGTTCAAGGGAGGAGCAAAGGGTTCAAGGTTCACCAGAAAGACACAAGGCAAGATTGTCTATGGAATCAAGCAGGGAGCTGGCCAGCATTTCAGGTGGCTCAGCAAGAAGAGATACTGCCAGACACAGCAGAGGTCGCAGGTTCAGATCCAGGTCCTGACACAGTGAATGTGGCGAAATCCACTTTTGCACAATCCATTTTCTACCCAAGAGCAATGTGCTACTAAGCCCCAGTCTCAGATTCACGTGATGTTCTAGAACCTCTCTACGCCCCCAAATACTCGTGTGGATCGCATGCAACCTCTCTACGCCCCCAAATACTCGTGTGGATCGCATGCAACCTCTCTATGCCCCCAAATACTCGTGTGGATCGCATGCAACCTCTCTACGCCCCCAAATACTCGTGTGGATCGCATGCAACCTCTCTATGCCCCCAAATACTCGTGTGGATCGCACGCAACATTTGAATACAGTATTGACGTGTTGAATAACATCTCTCCGATATACACTTCCAGATCCTTCCGTGTGAAGACGCTCGGCTTACCCTATGCCTTGGGCGATGTATTCAAGTTGGCGGCACATACAAGAACGAACTTCGTATTCCACGTCCTGACACAGGGACTCCACTAGGGGGAGGATGTCTCGCTTTACTCTGCAATACACAAGTCACATGCTGCTCTGAAGATTATTATTATTATACAGGATTTATGGCGCCAACAGTGTGCTCAGCGCTGTACAATATAACAGGAGACAATACAGCAACAATACAGATCAATACAAGAGGGATAGGAGGGCCCTGATCCTGGGAGCTTACAATCTAGGAGGGAGGGCCCTGATCCTGGGAGCTTACAATCTAGGAGGGAGGGCCCTGATCCTGGGAGCTTACAATCTAAGAGGGAGGGCCCTGATCCTGGGAGCTTACAATCTAAGAGGGAGGGCCCTGATCCTGGGAGCTTACAATCTAGGAGGGAGGGGCTAGTGGTACAAAAGGTAGTAACTGTGGGGGATGGACTGGTGGGAGGAATAGAAGATTCCATCATTAGCTGAGGGCAGGATAGGCTTCCCTGAAGAGATCGATTTTCAGAGATCGCCTAAAAGTGAGCAGAGTAGGCGATAGTCTGATGGATTGGGGTAGAGAGTTCCAGAAGATGGGGGAAGCTCTGGAGAAGTCCTGGAGACGAGCATGGGAGGAGGAGACAAGGGAGCCAGAGAGCAGGAGGTCGTGCGAGGAGTGAAGAGGACGGTTTGGGTGATATTTGGAGACAAGATTGGTGATGTAATTTGCAGAAGATACAAAAGAAACACAAATCCGGCTATTTGGGAGGCTATTCTCTTCTAGGGGCCACTATCCTATTGACATCAATGATTTGGCGGGGGGGATTCTCTTCTGGGGGCCACTATCCCACTTACACCAATGATTTGGGAGGCTATTCTGCTCTGGGGGCCACTATCCCACTGACACCAATGATTTGGGAGGCTATTCTCTTCTGGGGGCCACTATCCCACTGACACCAATGATTTGGGAGGCTATTCTCTTCTAGGGGCCACTATCCCACTGACACCAATGATTTGGGAGGCTATTCTGCTCTGGGGGCCACTATCCCACTGACACCAATTATTTGGGAGGCTATTCTCTTCTGGGGGCCACTATCCCACTGACACCAATGATTTGGGAGGCTATTCTGCTCTGGGGGCCACTATCCCACTGACACCAATGATTTGGGAGGCTATTCTCTTCTGGGGGCCACTATCCCACTGACACCAATGATTTGGGAGGCTATTCTCTTCTGGGGGCCACTATCCCACTGACACCAATGATTTGGGAGGCTATTCTGCTCTGGGAGCCACTATCCCACTGACACCAATGATTTGGGAGGCTATTCTGCTCTGGGGGCCACTATCCCACTGACACCAATGATTTGGGAGGCTATTCTCTTCTGGGGGCCACTATCCCACTGACACCAATGATTTGGGAGGCTATTCTCTTCCAGGGGCCACTATCCCACTGACACCAATGATTTGGGAGGCTATTCTGCTCTGGGGGCCACTATCCCACTGACACCAATGATTTGGGAGGCTATTCTCTTCTGGGGGCCACTATCCCACTGACACCAATGATTTGGGAGGCTATTCTGCTCTGGGGGCCACTATCCCACTGACACCAATGATTTGCGCCTGGAGTTCAGCTCCCCAGTACAGTATGGTGTCCATCCGTTCCCGGAATGGCACTGTGCCGCTGTACTTACATGTGAGACTCGAACTTGTTGGCTATTTTCCCGAGAATCTTGCAGCTGGTGAGGCGGGACTGTAACGTCTGGGACAGCTGTGCTTTGGATACAAGAGGGTTCAAAATCTGAAAAGTAACAGAATGAACAGCGACTTACCATGATTTATATACAACATGAACATTCAGAAGCACCCAGAATGTCCCAAAGTACGACCGATACTCATGTGTGTGTGCGAATAGCCCGGCCAGGTGTTCCCAACTCCACCCACTGCCAGTTACCCCGGACATGTGACCAGAGGCCGGGGTCTCATCCAATAATATGTCTGATAATAATGCAGAATAAAGGGACAATACTGAACCCTGATTGGGGGGTTTCCATCTTTGTTCTGTTGGGGAGATTTTTCCTTACTTCCTGTCCTACAGAATGAACAGGAAATGAGATGGAAACTGTTAAAGAGAAGGTAAACTGCGATTCTGTTTTTACGTGGGTCTCTTCTGGGGGCCACTATCCCACTGACACCAATGATTTGGGAGGATGTTCTCCTGTGTGGGGCCACTATCCCACTGACACCAATGATTTGGGAAGCTATTCTCTTCTGGGGGCCACTATCCTACTGACACCAAAGATTTGGGACGCTATTCTCTTCTGGGGGCCACTATCCTACTGACAGCAAAGATTTGGGACGCTATTCTCTTCTGGGGGCCACTATCCCACTGACACCAAAGATTTGGGAAGCTATTCTCTTCTGGGGGCCACTATCC